ATCTCTCTTGCCCATGGACATGGTGATCGTTTGGATTCCCTGGCGTTCTGAAATCTCTCTTGCCCAGGGACATGCTGATCGTTTGGATTCCCTGGCGTTCTGAAATCTCTCTTGCCCGGGAACACTGTTGGAATGTGGAGTGGCAGGTGCCTTACAAGGGAACAGGATGGGGACATGCGTCCCTTTTCAAATAAAACTGTTGGATAGTCTGTGCAATATATGGGGGAAAAACTTTAAACTCCTTGTTTTTGTAGCCTTAACTATAAATGTTTTTGTACAATTATTTCAGAGAATAAAAGCTGAATTTTCATAGTGTTGTTTATTTCTGTTTTTATTTTTATTGTGAATCTTTCAGTGGGGCAGTAGTTAGCATTGCTGCCTCACTGCCTGGGGCTCGGGGTTCAATTCATGGAGTTGTATGTTTATACAGGTTTCCTCCCATACCTCCCAAAGACATGCTGGTAGGTTAATTGGCTTCAGAGAGAATTGGCCCTGGTCTGAGTGTTTGTGTATGTGCCCTGTGATGGACTGGCATCCTGTCCAAGGTGTATCCTGCTTTGAGCCCGTTGTTTGCCTCGGTAGGCTCTGGCTTCCCCTCAACACTGAACTGCAAAAAAAAGTTAGGAAATGGATGGATGGAACTTTCACTATGTGAGTTTTCAAGCTAGTTTTATTTGTACCAAATGTAATATGGAATTCAGCACAACAAACTAGAAAGGATTTAGTGAATTATTCATCCTTATATATATATTAAAGTTTAGATGTTTTCATTAATACTACCTCTGAACAGAAAATAAAGGCTTAATTCTACACGTGGTAATTATCCTGAATCAGAATCCCTCAGGTCTCCAGCATTCATTGGCAACTCTGTCTGGATCGATTAAAATTGGGTTAAATAAAATTAAGAACCTTGACTAGATAGGGTTATGATTTTATTTCTTCCATAACAGGTTATAAAAGAAAGAAGAAAACTGCATGAGAGGTTTGGGAGTACAATTCCCACACCTGGAGTAAATGAGGCAGCTTGCTGGTTCTCTTGGACACTGTGCAATCTTTGGTTTGGAATAATGTGGAGTATATAGGTCCTCAGGTTGGAGGTAGGTATCTTAGTATTGGATTTCATATTCTTGTTATACTGCTGCTACTGTTATTTATTTCTAACTTTATAATATATATCTAGTATGAAACTGCACAGCCCCTGCTTCTACAAGAAGGTAACATGGGGGGGAGGGTGACCGAGAGGGGGTGCAGGTTCACCCCTTTCCTTTCTGACCTAATTTCATGCCGTCGGTGCTGTTTTTGGCGGCCGGCTCTGGCTCTCCCCTTACTGACAGGATGCCGACATCCACAGTGTTTCTGTCGCAAGCACAGCACGACACCGGTTTAAAACGAGGAGCTGAAGATGCGTTTCTGCGGGCGGAGGTTTTGTTCTGCTTTTCTTGGATGAAGGTGTGCGGACTGTGGTAGAGCAGGGGAAAACAAACTGCACCCTTGGGGCCACGATCCCAGCAGGCTTTCCACGACACCTGGCCGCTACCTAAAAAGGATCGACTGCTGAAGAGCCATTGAGAAAGAGCTGAAGTGGCCCAGTGAAGGCTTTTACTAGACCAGCTTCACTGGCCTGGAACTACCGATTATAAAAAGAGTTGGTCAGCCTGCCAAGCAACAGCTGTCTGATAACTACGTCTCTGTCAGAGTTTTGGGGAGTGGGAGAAAACTACAGCAGCAGAAAGGTGAACAGGTACACAGATGAGTGAGGGGGACCTTTTTACTGGCTGATGGAAAAGACAGGAGTCCTGTTTGAGAGGCTGCACAGAAGAAAGGTTCCAATTCACCAGCGTGGCCAAGGGCAAGGAGTCTTAGGAGGCAGTGTGTGTCCCAGGAAGAATGGGAGAAGCTCTGGGCGGAGTAGCCAGGGGAAAGAGAAGAGTCCCAGCTGGGCAGCAGTGCTGTAAGGGCCAAGGGGAAGCAGGGAAGCAGTCCTAGATGTCGTCCTTGTCCTTGGCGCCATGCTTCAGGATGCGGGTGAACTCAGTGTAGTTGAAGTTGCCCTTCTTGTCGATGGGCGCCTCGCGGAACAGCTCGTCCACCTCCTCGTCAGTGAAGCGGTCGCCCATCGTGGTCAGCAGCTCCCGCAGGTGGTCCTCGTGGATCACGCCTGCGGAGACCGAACAGCACGGTGACCGAGAATCCCCATGGGAAACCCCCTGGCTAAAGAGTCTGTCGGGTGTTAAACTTCAAAGAGAAGTGTTTTAAGGCTGGGGAGAGCTGAAAGAAAGTGTCAGGTTGGCACTGTGTTTAGCACTGTTGCCTCCCAGCAGCGGGGCCCTGGGTTCAATTCTGGACCTGGGGGTGCTATCTGTGTGGAGTTTGCATGTTCTCCCAGTGTTGACATGGGTTTCCTCTGGGTACTTGGATTTCATCCCACAGTCAAAAAAAAAACATGCTGGTGGGTTAATTGGCTACTTGGAAAATTGGCCCTGGTGTGAGTGTGGTTGTCTGTATCTCTCTGCCGTGATTGGCGTCGTGTCCAAGGTGCAAGGTGTACCCTGCCTTATACCCATTGCTTGCCAGAATAGGCTCCAGTTCCCTGGCAACTCTGAACGGATAAAGAGGTTAGAAAATAGTTGGATGGATAGAAGAATGGGAATCTGAAAGAAGCGCCTTGAGTCTAGACCAGGACTTCGGCTTCTTCCTGTTTTTGACTGATGCAACTCTTAATTGAATTTCTGATTTGTTAATCTAACCTGTCTGTTTTCAGCTCAGAAAGCTATGGAAGTTGAAATCTTAATCCAGGTCTAAAATAGAAGGAGCACAACATCCTAAGGACCAGGGTTGTTACGGTTGTTATATTATTATTAATAATGTTACCATAGTTAGCAGCATTTTATATAGTGCTTTTCATGTGCAATTACACTGGACATCAGATACAGATTTGAGGACATACTTCACCTACTTAACCAAGGGGGATAATAAGTGAAGCCCAGAGTGAGATTTCGCCATGACACCAGGTTTAGTACCCCAACTAGAAGAAAGTCTTTGAATGATCATTAATGATTGAGAAGTCAGAACCAGTGTTTAATGTCTCAACTGAAGGACAACACCTCCTGCAGAACAGTGTTTACTACCACACTTTCACTGGTTTACAAATTATGGTCCAAAAGGAGTAAGTCCATGAACACTGCGTTATCACCAATCAGGTGTTAGGAATATGTTTTCCTTAGAGATCTCACAGTACTGTCAAGGCACAGCCTTGCTGAGCTTCTGAGATTCAAACAGGTCAGATTACAATGTGATAAATCCACTCTTATTTAGCATATAGCCTTTTTCTTGCAGGTCTCCCAGAAGGGAAGAGATCTAAGTATCCAAATTCTTTAAAGTCAACCCATTTGCATTTTAAACCCAGAGCAGAAGGTACTGCTTTACCCAAAGGGTGGTGGGAGTCTGAAACAAGCTGGCCAGCCATGTTTCTGAAGCAGATATCCTGGGTTCTCTCAAGAAACAGCTGCATGAGATTCTTGGATCGATGCACTACTAATTAGAAAATGGCCAGATTGTCCCAGCAGTTTCATTGTCAAATTAATTGTCATTATTTATGAATGGAATAATTAGGGGGCCAAATGGAGCAAAAAGGGGGAGAAAACTGGAAGGGCTACAGGTTAAATGTTTCAGCTCTGAAAGAACGATCTTGAGTCCTGGGCCCTGAGAGGCTTGCAGGTTGCATGAGGAACTCAAACTCCTCACAAGACATGCAGTTCAGGCAACAGAATAAATGAATAGACCCTTAAATAGGTAGAATGAAAACCAGGAGACCCAGTGACTCTCAATTAGCAGGAGTGAGAAGCACTACTTTAGAAGATCGTGGCATACAGGCAGAGATGGTTAGATTGGTCATTTTACTAGAGTAATTTCAATGATGTGGTTTTGTGGCTGGACTTTAACTGTAGAATGTGAAGAGCAGAAATAGAGTAGCTCACAATAAGGACTTATCTGCAAACAGACTCAGATATACACAGATATACACAGATACACAGATATGGCAGCTGTGCGATCCAGCACATTTCTAATTATTTTGTAACGGCTCCAAATGAAAGTACAATGCAATGAGCTTTATTATAATGCCTGTTTTCCATAATTTATTTTATTCAGACCAGAGCACTAACACTGTTCATGTGACAAGATTCCTCAGGAGAATGATCCATCCATCAAATTTTCCAACCTCTTCTTCCAATTCAGGGTCGTGGGATTTGAGAGTGAAGTATTGCTGTAGCCGAAGCCCATCCCTGCATGCAACGGGCGCGAGGCAGGATCCACGCTGGATGGGACGTCAGTCCATCACAGGGCGCACACACTCACACCCGGGCCAATCCTCCCAGAAGCCAATTAACCCACCAGTGTGTCTGCACTGTGGGAGGAAACTGGAGCACCCAGAGGAAACCCACACAAACACGGGAAGAACATGCAAACTCCACACAGACAGCACCCCAGGTCCAGGAGCCCAGGAGCCCAGGAGCCCAGGACCCCTGGCCTGCAAGGCAGCAATGCTGACAACTACGACACCAACTTTACTGGAGCACCCCGAGGAAACCCACACGAACATGGGAAGAACATGCAAACTCCATACATATAGAATTGAACTGGAATTGAACCCAGGCCCCCAGCGCTGTGAGGCGACGATGCTGACCATCGCTCTGCCATGACACCCTGAGGGGGGGTGGTATTTCTTGTTCAATTAAATGACATGAAAAGAAGCTTGTCGGGAGTCTTATGTCCCCTCTCGTCTCCGAAAGGCCAGGCGGCCCCAGTGTTACCTACCGGAGCCCTCCTCGTCGAAGCAGGCGAAGGCGTTGCGGATGACGTCCTCGGGGTCCGTGCCGTTGAGCCGCTCGCCGAACATGGTGAGGAACATGGTGAAGTTGATGGGGCCGGGTGCCTCGCTCATCATTCCTTCCAGATACTCGTCCGACGGGTTTTTACCTGCCGGGGGTGGGACAGTTCAGGAGCCGCCTGGGCTGTAGGATGGTGGCCCGAGCATTGTGTGTGACGGGTTGTATTCTGAACCTGGGTAAGGTCTGTGCATGCTGAAGCAGGGAGACAAACACCGGTGGGGGGCATTTGCAGAAACATAATGCGAAGCTGCAGAGATGCTGGACAGCGAGGAGAGGTTTTGTCAGAAATAGCATTGTACATTGCGTGATTACCTTAGATGTTCAATCAAAAATATACACTGGTCTTAAACAAATGCTCATGAAGCATCACTAAATTTCAAAATAGATACTGGTCTAGTATGTATTAAGTTAAAATATATACTGGTCTCAAATGCTCAAGGAGCATCTCTAAAACTGTTATTTCTGGTAACTGAGAGAGATGTTTTAAAGTGTATAAGCTGCTTGTAAATATCTACAGTATGTACAGAGCAAATAGGAGGACCTCATTGTATGTTTCTATTCTCTGCTCTCCAAAGAGGCCTTTTCGAAACCTATTAACCCTCTATTCAAAACTTCACTGAACTGTTCTATGACTTCTAGCATCCCTACATAACACACAAATGTGTAGGCACAACCACGTGGAGCCCTTTGCTTTTTATTGGGGTAACTACTGGAACTCCAGACAATTCTGTTTCTTCTGAGCAGCGCCAGATTGCTGTTAAAGCCCCAGAATAGCATCCACTTTCAAAATGTCACCCAGCATCTGTCCTGCCAGTAGGAAGTGCAGCTCACAGCTTTTAAAACAGCTGGTGTGTGCAGGTTCCTCTTTAAACCTGGGCAGGAGCATTTGTACGAATACTTTTCTATTCCGCATCCCCCTCAAACTTGAAGGGGTGGACAGAGTTGTGATCTTTGGTGGGTAGTAAGGAAAGGATGCTTGTACACATCTCTTGTTATGTTATGTAAGCTTTTGCAGATTTGGGGGGATTCAGAATAGAATTTGACTTGTTCTACGTAATTTTTTAAACCAGCTAAGTGTGCAAATGAAAGAACTAGTCAAAACAGAAGTTCGTGACTTAAATGATCAGACGCCTTCCCCTCCCCACCCCAGCCCCCTGGTGACGATACCTGGAAAGCTCTGATCAGGGCTCACTCTGCCCTCTCTATTGTCGGGAAGGCAGAGATGGGCAACTTCAAGTGTGTCAGGGACAATAAGCAGTGCCTTCCCAGCTTGTGGGGCTGCTCTGCACGCCCGGGCAAAGAAATCAAGTTGAATTTTCAGATCACTTCCAGGGTGGGTGGTTGGTTTGACGTGACCTGGATGCCGGGCCAGGTCGCATGAGGGGCCCCAGGTTGCCCACCCGCTCTGCTCTCCCACCCGGTCTTACCCAGCGAGGCCAGCATGTCGTGCAGGTCCTCCTTGTCAATGAAGCCGTCGCGGTTCTGGTCGATCATGTTGAAGGCCTCCTTGAACTCCTGGATCTGGGACTGGTCGAACATGGCGAAGACGTTGGAGGTGGCCCGCTGAGGGCGCTTCTTCGTCGTCTTCCCCTTGGCGCGCTTGCTCGACATGGTGGCGGCTGGCTGGATCCGGGCGGAAAAAAACAACAAAAGGAGAGACAGGGGGTCAGGAGGCCTGCAGGAACCACTGAGCTGGGGGCCACAGAGACACCCTGACACCGTCAGGTCAGGTTAGATCAGATCACTTTACTGGCCTTATACAATTTCTTGCATTAGGAATTTGTCTTTTCACATAACCTAGCTTGCTCTCCATGAGACACACAGACAGGGAGAGAAGCTTGGGGTTAGATTGCAGGGTCAGTCATTTATATGGCACCCCTAGAACAGTTAGGCTTAAGGGCCTTGCTCAGGGGCCCAACAAAGTAGGATCCCTCTACCAACCACGGGATTTGAACTGGCAACCTTTCCAGCCACAGGTGCAGATCCTTAGCCACAGAGCCACTGCTCCGCCCCAGGTCACGCTCATCCACTGAGCACATGACTGAGCTGTGGGAGGATAATTCAAATCAAGCACAGCCTTTCAGAACATCAGTTTGAATTACTTGCACTGGGGGACACCCAGTGAGGAAGGGATAAAGCCATGGACATTAGCCAGGAACCTCTTTAGACTCTGTTCTCCAAATCCGACAGAAGTGCGGAAACTTGGGAAGACAATCAGGAAAGGTTACAACAAACTCCTTACAGAGTTACAGCAGAGGACAACTGCATATTGAAGTATTTTGATAGAAGTGAGAGGCGAAAACATACTGAATGAAGTGCAAAGACTTATTCGTGAATTCAGGACACAAAATTGATGTTAGGTTACCCTACATCGTCCTGTTGGAAGTTTAATTTAAAACGCTTCTGTTCCTTTGCACATTTGGAAGTCCAGCCCTACAGCAGCTTCATTTTCTACTGCTTTCTTAAAACAAGTCAGTGGGCACATTGTTCTTTCGGGCTGGCAGGACCACCTGGTCTGTTTTCCTCTGTCTGGGAAGAGAAAAACTCGAAGCCTAATAGAAATTTGGAATTTGACCTGACACATTGGCTACTGGGAGGAACGCTTCCTGCCAGTGTGCCGTCTCCAATAACCCTTTGACAGAACAATACCAATCGATCAGATATTCTGCAGTGTTGGAGATGTGGGAAGATGCCCCAGACACAGTGCCTTCCCCTGAACTGAAGCAGAGAACAGCGTCCCATGATTTTGGAATCATCTCTCAGCTGTTTTTCTGGGTCCAGTCCTACTCCCTCCCCATTCGCTCAGGCCGCTGCCCTGACCCAAACAGGAAGGGCCTGCATGTCAGCTACAGCAGGCGTTGACAGGATTAAGAATTTACAGTAATTGCAGGCAGAGGAAGGAGCATGTTATTTCAGCTCGGTAGATAAGAATCCATTTCCCTCTGCCGGATTTTTCAAAGGGC